TGCTGTGTTGGGGGAAATTGATCCTGTCTATCCTCAATTTTCTCCTAGGCCTTTATTTTATTAAGTCTAAATGTTGTGTGCTACTGGAGAGGTGGAGAAGAAGATGGGTGGAGCATAGAGAGAACCAGATCTGCACCCGTGCAAGCTCTTTCCACAGACACCTGTACATTCGCTTTCCTGTATTAAAAGTTTATTCAGTTTTTCATAATCAGAATAACAACAAGCACAAATGAAGACCTCTTTTAAGACAACAATCAATGGCATATTAAATGTGTAGCTACCACTATTATGGAGCAGCCCAGCAGGAATTCTGGTGCCACAAACAAGAGATAACGAGAGAGTTTGTCCCTGTTTGACAATGGTTTTGGCACATCCTGCATACCAATTATTAAGCTCTATTTCGCTAATCTACCATCACAGCGTGAACTTGAATAATAATGGCTTGATTTAATTGCAGGTATTATCAGTTATCCTGGCAGTTATCCTGTCCATTACAAGTAAAGCTGGTTTGGTAGTTAGCTGATAATAGTTTTGCATTTATTAATGTCTGTAAATGATGGATGCCATTAAAGATAATTACAAAGATAAGTAAAGCAGAGTACACAATTTATTTAAATAAGTTAGAAGTTAAAGAGAGTTCTACGCCATAATAAGTGTAATTAGTCACAGTTAAAATAATTCTTATATATTTACTAATACAAATATTAATAAATAATAAATGAATTGTCTTTAATAACAGTATTTATATTAGTGTCTGTAATGCTATTTAACAACTAATAATAATACATTATAGGTAATATAATTTATATTTCTATAATTTTCTGGATTGGATCATTTGCATAATATTCTGAGTTTGCATTTCACTATTTTTATACATATTGAGGAATACTGAATGCTTTTGTGCAAGTAGAATGAGTAAATTCATGATAACATACCCTTCATATTTACACACATCCCACACAACGCCTCTGCACTTACTCCCGATTTCTCTCAACGTGGGGAAAGGAGAGGTGTCAGTCAATATGGGAAACCAAAGTAACTTGTGTTACTAATTAGAAAATGTAACAGATATTTTGTTGTAATTTTTAAAGTACTGCATTACTTTACTAGTTACTTGAAAATAGTAACCTGATTACGTAACTCGCACTACTTGTAGTAATGTGTTACACTTCTCATGAACATATGTGACCCTGGACCACAAAAGCAGTCTTATATGTATATTTCTATGGTTTGTTAGGATAGGACAATATTTATAATCAAGAAACTTCACTGCCGTACCGTGAGAGCAGCAGGCGTAATGATATGACGCAGCGCCTGAAAATAGTTCCGTTGTGTTGACGGAAGGTGGCCTATTTTCAGGCGCTGCGTCATATCATTACGCCTGCTGCTCTCATGGTACGGCAGTGAAGTTTATTTATTATTACGCAGGAATGAGAGTATAGTTCCTAGCCATATCAGCCTAGAAAATCGCAACTTTACATTTTCCGTCGGTCTTAGTGCACGATGTAACTACAGAAGAGTCAAGTTTTAAATAGGAAAAATATCGAAACACTTTGGTCATTTTTTTTTGAGAAATGCTAATGGTCTTGTCCACTTCAATGATGTATGCTAAGCTATGCTAAAAGTGGTACCGCCAGAACCGGAGATCGGCTGAATGGATTCAAAAACGGTAAAAACTCAACAGTTTAACTCTGGGGGAGTTGTAAAATGAGCCTATTTCCAAAAAAAGTGGAGTATCCCTTTAAGAATGGTTTTGTGGTCCAGGGTCACATATTAACTAGGTGACAATGTTCAGCCAACAGACAAATGATTTGCTGAAGCATTTATGACTATTATTCCTTAGTGCTTACACATTTGTTACACCAACTTTCCGTGCAACCTGTTGGCAATGGCTCCAGCTTGGTCTTTAATCTGTTTTTTTTTTTTTTTTTTACGTGGCTGACTACAATTTTTTAATCACTTTTAAAATCATTTTATTCACTATTTTCCCCAAGAAATGTAAGAACTGTTGTGAAAGGGTACAATGGTTGCTATGTCCCTGTACGTCACAGCCGACCCATGCAACACGATGACGCACTAGAAGTGCATTTAGCGATTCAGTTCCACAGCACAACCAAAACCCTCCCACTGGAATCACTGCTGTGACTTCTGCGTAGGTGTTTAGTCATTTTCTAAAGTTTCCACACTATGTAATACGGCAGTGGCCCAACAAAGGAAAGCAAAAACAGCATGAACGGAGCATGATGGGAGAACGGATGCCTTAGTGAGGGGTGTTGTTGAGTCCTAAACATTATAAGATCTCATTAAGATCTCCACTACAAGTACTATACAACAAACAGGCAACAATATATACTGCCTCTAATATATACTTTGACAACATATTAGCATTCTCCTCTTTTTTGTTGTGTTAAATAAAAAACAGTTTAAATAAAAACCAGCTGCAGAAAACAAATGCATTTCGCTTTGTTGGTTGAGCTGGTCCTATCACAGATGTGCAAATAACCTGCCTGACAATGTAATTGTGTGTGCGGCATTTCAAGAAAATGAAATTAGTACCGACAATAATATTTGGAGATGGAAAGACACGGTGTCGCAGAGCACGAGATAATATATTACTGTAAGCATATTTAAACGTTTCTCGCACTCCCTTTGCATTCTGACAACTCATAAAACCCACGCAATAAACCAAAATGAAAAGATAGGAAGAGAGTTAGATATTTCATGTTAATTGACTTCCATTCATACAGCTGTGAACGCCAAATTCCTCTGAAAAATGAAACATTTTGTTACTTCTTTTGGCTGAATATGCAAATAAATCATGTAAATATGCATGACTGGGTTCGTTGCAGAGGTCACAGCCTCTGTTCCATTCAGATGCAAGTCTAAAGAGAATGTCAATGTTCCAAACTTATACTACATTTAGACCTTAAAAACTTTCAAAATTCTTGAATGTTCTTGTCTGCTGTGATTTCTAAGAAACATCTCCCTTAAGGCTCTTTTAACACACTGTTAGGTGGCATATCGATCGATAGCTGCCGTTTCTTCAGGTGCTTATTATCCAACCATTCTCTCTCGCTCTCTGAGCCCTGGACTATAATACTTGGAAGTGAATACACACTCAGATTTTCAAGGATGAATCTGATGTATTGGGAGCCAAAGACAGAATTGAACTCCAGAGGAATTTAAAGGGGTAATATAATGGTTGATTGTACTGAAATGTGTGTTGGCAGTGCCTGTACACAACCATCATAAAATGATAAAAATCCATCCAGTGTTTTTGTTTTAATCTCCTTATATGTTTTCCCCTGCCTCAAATTGAGCCGTTCGATTTTGTGACGTCACACGCTCGGAAGCCCCTCCCACGATTGTTGATTGACATCATCGTTTCAACACAGACCCGCCCTCGCTCGTGAGCGAGCTGTCATCATAGTCTGCGCGGACCGGCGCGGTCATTGTTGATATGCTGGAGCACTGTCTATGAGCAGAATGGCGTCTAAGCGATTGTGGTGTTCTGTTCTTGGGTGTAATAACGAACACAGCAGTCATTTTAATGTTCCTAAATCCGAACCGCTGAAGACGCAGTGGCTGAGTTTTGTTTTTGAAGGGAATAATTCCCCACGAGCAACGTCAATGCTTTCATGTTTGCGCGAATCATTTCTCACCAGACTGCTTTATAAACGAGGGTCAGTATGAGCTGGTTTTGCTAAGAAGCTGCTCATGAAAAAAGGATCGGTACCAGCTATTCGTGTTCCTGCTGAACCTCTAGAACAACTGAAGTGAGTGTAACGTTTTATTAAACTTTATATTAATATTTATATTAATCTTTGTAAATCGCTAGCTGCTCGCTTCACAATGAATGCGTCTAAGGTTTACACTTAGGGAACATTACGGCATGTTTTCTATGTATGATGTTCTCAATATAATTCATAATCCCACGTTTATACTGAACAACGCGTTATGGTTATTGTGTTATTGTGTTACAAACGGTGTACACAGAACAGAGAGGCGGAGTGAGCAAAGCTCATTATCATTTAAAGTCATATGCACTGAAACGGCGTGCTGAAAACAGAGCTGTTTTTGACCAGGTAAAATAAGTGTTTTCTTAAAATACTAATGAGAATGTTTAATTAAAGTATATTACAAACTTTTAATTTAGACCCTAAAGATTCATACTAGCTTGTACAAAAATGGCATTATATGACCCCTTTAACATCCATGTGAAGAGATCTGTCACAGTCGTCCAGATTTACATATGATATCCATCGAAGCGCACATAAATATGGAACAATCGGCTGCTTTATTTAATTTCTTATACCAGTAGATCCAGTCGATGAATTTGTATGATGAACTATTATATCAAGTGGCAACTACTGTGCAAAAAAAGATATTCTTTTCCTCTGCCGCTTCCTATGCCTCAGTTTAAGTCTTTATATTGTCTTTCAGTCTCAAACTTTTTCTTCCTCTGTCTTTCCCCTGAAGCTTTTCCGTGCCTCAGGGGAGATGAAGCTTAAGCATTGGACTCACATCTCAGAGGGATAGCTAGTGGCCCTGCTTTCAACTAAAACCTATACAGCCATGTGTCACCTATGGGACTGAACTGTAACTGCTGAAAGTGTGAAAGAGAGAATGTGAGAGTGACTGAGAAATAGAGAAAAGGAGACACTAAAGGAATAAAAGTTCACACCAAAATTAAAATTCTCTCATTATTCATGTTGTTTTATGGAAAATAGCTGCAGATTCTTCAAAAATTCTGTTTGTGTTTGACAGAAAAATAATATAATTAATCTAATGTAATGTAATATTGACAGGTTCAGAATGACTTGAGGGTTAGTAAACAATGAATAAATCAATGAGGCATTTATGGCACTATCATATGTACTACTGTACATCCAAATAATGACAGAATTACATTTTTTGGGGTGAACTATCCCTTTAAATTTATCAAAACGACCTTTATAATGACCAAAACAGAACATCTTTATGGACATGCATTCACTCACCATATTTATTGATGACACAGGTCCAATACTATTTACGAAGATATCAACATCAATGACTGTCGGTTTAACTGCAGAGAGAGAGAGAGACAGAGAGAGAGAGAAATAAAGTAAGATGACATGAGACTCATTGCCACAAAACAAAAATGTTTGTTTTTTTAACTAATATTAGGATTTGTTTTACTCTCCAGCTGTTTATGCATACTGTGTGAAAGTAACTTTTAACAAATGAACTGTCTGTGCACCAAGAGGTCATAAAATTTGTGATGACATCACACTGCATAATCTTCTTTCCCTGAATCCATTTGAAATCTCTTTTAAAGGATTTCCTCTTTGAGCAGTTTATCACAATAATCTACAGTTTTAAACATTAGCTTGATTGACATTAAGCGTGGCTGAAAAGCACTCGTCACTTCTAAGAGATGAAGTGGAAAGTTGGGGGGCAAAGGAAAGGAACTGTGAGAATTTCATTATGAGTGAAAGCTTAGGTCTGACAACCCTCCATTAGGAAAGCATTTTCTGGAGCCGAAGAGATGAAGGAGGGGTTCATTCTTCACAAAAACAACAAAATGACAAAAGACAGTGAGTCAAGTACATCATATCATTCCGACAGCAGCATATAGTGTCAGCCATGGTAATGTTTACAACTCTAAACTCTGTGAAACATCTAAATTTGTTGTCACGATTTTTAATTTTCACGGCCCGGAATTTTTTTTACTGAGAGCCACCACAATGTTTTGTAATCTAGATGTATATTTAATAAATAAATAAAATCATTTTTATTGAAATAATAATATAAATAGAAAATCATAAAACTATGCGGATTAAAATGCATTAGGCATCACAAGTAGATTTGGAAAGAAAAAGTAGGTTGCTTTAATTTGAAATAATATCAAATGTCCTAATCTTTAAAGAATATAACAACCGCAACGGAGAAGAGTATTTTTTCGTGTTGCCTTAGCCAACCTCTGACCACTTCTGTCAGTCCAACAGCGGTCGAATGGGCACAACCCCCTCAGGTGTGCTTACACTTAAATATGAGCATGACATTTTCAATCTTCCCTCTCATTTTCTAAATGCCTTGTTCACTGAGTGTGCATCAAAATAAAGATTCCCATCTGTGCAAGAATTAACAGTGTCAGTTACTTTGATATCGTACATGCTGTCTAGAAGTAATGCAGACAGTACCACATCAGGGCCCTAGTTTACGAAGAGGATACATTTAAATAGTGTGTGGACTTCAAGGTGTACCGTGGGTGATTTATGCAATTAATCACATTCCAGTTGAACACATCCTCTAAATGAGACTTCAATTCTACCAAATGTTAGCCATGCAGCTTACTAAATATCATTCATTCATTCATTCGTAGATTTGATATAATGTATCCTGCTGTTTTTATGTTGTCTCTTATGTTTACCAAAGTTGCATTTATTTGATCAAAAATACAGAAAATGAAACAGAAATATTACAATTTAAAATAAATATTTTCTATTTAAATATATTTTTAAATGTAATTTATTCTTGTGATAGCAAAACTGAATTTACACATACACAAGGCTTTTTTTGTTTAAATACTAAAAAAATCAATTGTCTAAAGTTGACATCATCGTAGGAATAGGCTTTATGCCGAGCGTCACGTGACCAAACCGGAAACCGGGTCTCATTGCATCCGCTTGTCAGAGAAAGTGTTTACGGCCGTAAGAACTAACTACGATATCTATGGAGTTTTAAGGTAATCAGCTAACCTACTAAGTTCACTTTGTTATTGGTGTTTTATGCTATTTAAATATCTAAACGTTAGTGTGAAGAAGAAGAATTAAAAAACTTTTAAATATTAATCTGCACATGCGAGGGACATTGGTTATGCTCATTTTTGCTTGCTCCTTTTAAGTTATCTTGAGTAAAACCGCAAAAAAATTCATGAAGCACATACAAAAGACCTGAATCGGAAGCGATGTGATCTGTTTTCCGGCTTGGTCACGTGACGCTCGGCATAAAGACTATTCTTTCTCTAGTTGGGATCATCTCTTAAAAAGTGTGCTTTATCTTCCAGCCGTTTAATATTAGCAGCTGTGCAGAAGTTAGTTAATTAGCTTCAGACTTGCTGGTGCCACAATGGCAGATCTTAGATTGTATATACTAAAGTGTTGACTTGGGCCTCTCGTGGAATTCCCCTTTTTGCACTGTTTTGGCATAGGTCTGATCACGTCATCCCTGCCTAATTTGCTGTAAGGTCCTACACCTTGAAAATCTTGCTTGAAACGTTCAACAATAGTCATCATTCACTTTCATTATGTATAAAAGCAGCGTAGGCATTCTTCTATAAATATCCTTAACAGATTAAAAAATATATATTCAGCTGAAATGCTCATTTAATCTGTTGTTTTCTTAATTTGACTAGATTTAAATCTAGACTAGATTTGAAACCAAGACATGTCCCTGGCTTAGTACAGTACATGCTGCACTGCTATACACATTAAGCATTTATTAGGCACAGGCAGTATTCATACCTGTTTTAAACTTTTATTGGATATGTTTGATTAATTATAAAGAACTACACATTGCTGTCAACTTTGAATGTGATATGGGAAATAACAGCTAAGTACCATGAATATTTCATTACTCACGTAAGTCACAGTTCATCATCCAATGTCCTATTTCACAGCTGGAAAATTACATTTACAGTTTGTAATTGCTTTCAATTTACAGCAATGATACAAATTAGACAGATATTGTTGCTGTGCAATGATAATGTGCAATAAAGTTAATGAGCTTAGTGTTTGGATCTGGACACAGAATGTTTGGATGCTTTTCCATTTAAGATTTATAGATCTCTCCCTGCATGCCCAAAGTCATTATGCCTGAGCCTCACCATCCACACGTCTTCACTCTTCCTCTCTCACACCTTACTTAAGTCGGGGAGGAAGCATGGTTATTCCATGTAAACTCTTGCTTGGTAATCGTCTGGCAGCTGTGGGGTGCTGTCAGGTGAGGGGGTCATGGGTCTGTCTCCGACAGAAGATGTACGCTCATTAGAGTTCGACTAAGGACAAGCACCTGCATCAAATGTCACACTAACTCATTAATTGCTCTACACACACCGATGTGCCCACCTAGCCAAAAGAAGATAAGACAAGGAAAAAAGGGGCAAACTAGGTACAAAATAAATGTAGAAATTACTATTTGGATGCATACTACTTGCAGAAAGACAGACTAGAAGGAAATCAGAGTAGAAAACAGATGCTTAATTTGTGCAGAAACAAGCCAGGGCTCCATTTCACAAAATAAAAGCATTGTGAGCCAAGTTGATCTTAGAGACCATTGGTGGTTCTACGATCTACTTAGGCTTACGATACTTTTGAGAAATGTAGCCCAGATCCAGTACAGTATTTTAGTGAATCCGCCACCCCATACACCTTTGAAATGTATGCTATGACCAGTATGTTTATTGAAAATAAGGAATATCAATAATATTCTAAATAGCTTGTCATATAGCTTTTAAAATTCACCTGTACTAAATCTACACTACAAACCACCATGATCAACAAAATGATTTGCAAAAGCCTCATAAGCAACTACAAACTCCCGAAGACCTCATAGGCGACCTCATTATTTACAAAAGAACATGAAAATATTTGGCAGATACTGGAAAAAGATTCTTATAACATAGGATAGAATGTTATAAGACATTCTTATAACCAAACTTGTTCTGAGCTAAAAATACATAAATAATATAGTATGGCAGTTGAGTCAATTCAAAATGAATAAATAAAAAAGGTATTTGAGCGAGTTACTCCTTTTTTTAGTTCTCATTTTTTTGAAAACCTCAAAATCGACATTTTTCACTTGTCTTGCCTGTAGCTCGAAATGATCCCGTGAGCATTCCTTATGCCAGCACGGGTCACATGTCTATAAAGCCTTAAGCTATTGAAATAAGTATAGGTGTATGATGATCCTGGAATGGTATAACAAGTTTTTGCATGAAAAATGGAGAAAAAAAAAAGAATGAAAGAAGATAGAGGAATATTAGCTTAACCTAAAGTCTGCTCTGAACCCTGTGACAGTCTTGTGCTCTACCTTTCATTAATCTATATTCCCGCAGGAGCACTTTGGGCCTCCCTGCATCTACTTTCATGCCTCCAAATTATCAAACCACGTCGTGAACAATTCATCGGTGGGATTTCACGCTCAGCTTCCGCCCAACATTTAAAGAGCAATCTTTTAAATTTATTAGCTCTCCCTTGCTACAACCAGCCATTCACGCTCGCGCGGTAAATTGCACAAACATCATTATGCAATCCAGTCCAACACAGGTCTTATGTCTTGGCAAATCAAATCAGTGCAGAGAGTTTTGTAGTCTAACAACACGATTTTTGTCACATGCAGACGAAGGGATTCATCATGCATTTATATCCCATCATGCCACTGAGGGATATCCTTTCTCTTCAACACCACTGTAATAAAGTGCATGTGCTTTGAAATGCGATTTGACAAATAGTCCTTTGAGACACTAATGGCTTGAGTCCTATTGTTATCTAGCTAACATGTATTGACAGTGGCATAGCAAAATGCACACACTTACAATTTTACAACCCTCTAATGTCATGGGTGCTAGGTTGCTAAGATGTAAATTCCACTGGGCACGTTGATAGGTTAGATGAGACAGAACTCATAATAGCTGAGAAATACACACGTTGCCTATCTCACAAGAGCGAAGGAAGTGATCAGCATATATCCTGCTTGTAAAGTGACCATGTTGTGGCCGGACATTGTGTTGTGTCTTACATTTTCTGTCAGCGCAGCCATCATCATAGAGGAGAAACAAATTAGCAGCAATCAACCCTGCATGGCCACATTTAGCCCCTGCACCATTATGTTCCCTCCCAGAGCTGTGTGTCCATCGATGAGAGCATTAACATGCAAGCTTTCTGCCCAGAATCACCATAGACACACTAATTAAATCACCCGCAACAGACCGAGAGCAGGAATATTAATGATGACATCCACCACCCCATAAACAGCCATTAAAACTCTCTAAACACAGAAACCATGACCCTGTTAATGATGCAA